TTATTTATTTTCTTTTGAGCCAGGGTCTGCTCCTGCGCCCAGGGTGCACTTGAACTCCTGGGTTCAAGCAGTCCTTCTGCCATGGCCTCCGGAGTAGCCAGAATATAGCTCTGGCTAGCACAGAGAGCTTTTCAGCCAGGCGTGGTAGCGTCCGTTTGTGATCCCAGTACTCTGAGAGGCTGAGGCAGAAAGATCAAATTTGGGCCCCGCCTGGGCTCTTCAGCACCTTAGCAAGGCCAAGTCTCAATAGAAAGGATGGGGATGTAGCGCGATGCGACGGCTGGGGGCTCAATGCTTAGTACCTTCTGCTCTGTAAGTATTTTAGTTTTCATTTTTTATTTTAATTTTTTGTATTCTAGGGCAGGGTCTACAGAGAGTTCAGGGTCTCACTACTAGATTGGACTCATAGTGATCCACCTCTTTACAGCCTCCCAAGAGCTGGGATTACAGTGTGCGCCACCGTGCCCAGCCTTAATTGCCAATCTCAGCACGGCCTGGGAGTGGGGCCAGTATAGCAGGTCTGGGGATCGCCTGTTTGCAGGCGCTTTAATCTGCTGAGCTATTTGGCTGGCCCGAAGTATTTTAATTTTTGAGGTTTTTTTTTTTTTTTTAGAACCAGGGATTGAACTCAGGCCCTTGTGCTTGCCAGGGAAGCACTTATTCCACTGAGCCATCTCCCCAGCCCCTAATTTTTGAGTTTTAATCCAAAGAGTCTCACAAAACATAACAAATGGCAGCATAAAAAAAACTCCTGCAGGATAACTCATAAATTCAGCTCTGCACTGTACCCTTAACCTCGTCTGTTCTTAGTTACTTCTAAAAGTGCTTGGCCAACTAGACGATATCCGGGTCTGGGGTGCTCTCCTCTCCCTCTGGAGTTAAATTTCAGACTTTTCTTGTCTCCAACAAAGATTTGCAAAAGGGGACTGGTGATAGCTCAGTAGAATAAGTGCTTGCTGGGCAAGCACAAGGGCCTGAGTTCAATCCCTGGTGCTGCCAAAAAAGAATACTCTCTTAAGTGTTTTAGTTTTTTTTTTTTTGTTTTGAGACAGACAGGGTTTCTCGGTCTGGCCTGGGCCTTTGCAGATTTTCCTGCCACAACTTCTGGAGTGCTGGGCTCGGAGGCATGTGCCAGCACAGGGCCTGGCCTTTCTTTTAGAAAAAGAAAAAAGTCATTGGGAGCCTGCGAAGCCACTCTCCTCATCCCTGTGCTCTCCCACTCAGCAGCAGAGCAAGCTGAGGCACAGAGCAGCCTCCGGGTGAGCTGGGGCAGGGTCTGGGTGGAGACTGCTGGGGCGAGCCTGGGTGTCCTCCCGCGTATTTGACTACGGCTGAGCCCCGGATTCCCATTTTGTGCCCCTGCGGGAGGGCGTGGGAAGGCCCGCTGGAGATGAGGATCTGAACCCAGCATCTCCTGGTGTCCAGCGCGTGGAGATTCCTGTCCACTAGGTTGGGAGGCTTCCACCGGGGTCACCATGGAGACCGGCAACGCCTCTGCTGCTCCACCCCCCACCCCCACCCTTGAAGCATGGGGCTGCTGGAAACCCGCCTGCTTTGTTCCTGTTGACTCAGTATCACTGGAGTGGGATGGAGAGTGGTGTGTGGCCGCCACGCAGGATTTGACCGGCCTGCCCTGAATGCAGGGGTCTGCAGGTGGCTGTCACTGGAGAAGCTCCTGTGGCTACTTGTCTAGAGCTGGAGAAGCAAAACCATAGCCCTTACTTCCTTTTCTCTAGGTTTGTAAGAGAAGTGGTCACAGGAATTCACTTCACTTGAAGGAAGCAGGCACAGAAGATTAAAGTTTGTTTGAG